AAATGAGGATTCTGAGACATAAAGACTGGAAAGAAGTTAAAGTGACAATGGAAGCAGGGCACAGTGTTTTGCACGTGTAATTTCAGCACTTTGGGAGGCTGAGGCAGGAGGATGGCTTGAGGCCAGGAGTTCGAGACAAGCCCGGGCCAAAGAGTGAGATTCCATCTCTACAAGAAAAAAAAAAAAAGAGTCACAATGGCTGACTCCAACTCAGCAGTGCCTGGGCCATAGAGAAGTGTGAAAGGAAAATATTGAGGCCCCAAAATTACTAAGCTAAGGGAAAAGTGAGGCTGGGAATTGTTCAGGACAAACCTGCCTCCCGTTCTATTCAGTCATCCCTCTGCTCACTGAAATAGATGTATATTGCTTCCCTTGGAAAAGCTTATCAGAAGCTCAAACAATGCAACTGTTTGTCTCTCACCTACCTGTGACCTGGAAGCCCCCTCCCTGCTTTGAGTTGTCCCCACGGTCACGCATGTCCATGTGAAGAGAGTCCACCAACAGGCTTTGTGTGAGCAACAAGGCTGTTTATTTCACCTGGGTGCAGGCAGGCTGAGTCCAAAAAAGGAGTCAGCAAAGGGTGGTGGGATTATCATTAGTTCTTACAGGTTTGGGATGGGCTTACAAAGTACCTTCTCAAGGGTGGGGGGTGGGGCGAGAATATTACAAAGTACCTTCTTAAGGGCAGGGGAGAATATATGTATCAGTTAGGGTGGGGCAGGAACAAATCACAGTGGTGGAATGTCATCAGTTAAGAGTATTTTCACTTCTCTTGTGGATCTTCAGTTGCTTCAGACCATCTGGATGTATATGTGCAGGTCACAGGGGATATGATGGCTTAGCTTGGGCTCAGAGGTCTGACATTCCTGTCTTCATATAGTAATAAGAAAAACAAAATAAAATAGTGGTGAAGTGTTGGGGCGGTGAAAATTTTGAGGGGTGGTATGGAGAGATAATGGGCGATGTTTCTCAGGGCTGCTTCGAGTGGGATTAAGGGCAATGTGGGAACCCAGAGTAGGAGAGATTAAACTGAAGAAAGATTTGGGGGTAAGGGGTGATATTGTGGGGTTGTTAGAAGGAGCATTTGTCATATAGAATGATTGGTGATGGCCTAGGATGCAGTTTTTTTTTTTGGTTTTTTTTGTTTGTTTGTTTGAAATGACAGGCTTTTTATTTCTCAGGAATGGCCGAGATGACCTCCAGAGGTTTCCAACAAAGCTGTAACAATCCACCCTGCAGCTCTGTGACAGGGAGGAGGGCGAATCCAATCCATCATCTTACACCAGACTTCAGCCCTGCGGGAGCTGCTGCCGCCGAAGAAAGCCGGGACCTGGGCAGACTGCATCCCTCCCCCGTGTGGGGAACGTGACAGATGTGAAGGTTGGGCTGACAGACACACGGCCTGCAGCAGCCCAGCCAGTCCCACACAGCATCCAGCCAAGTCATTTAAAAAGGATTCAGGCCACTGCCTTTTTCTCAGGGAGGAGCAGCCAGCATGTGCCCTGCAGCTCACTGGGCCTGTCTAATCACACAGCAGTGGCAAAAGGAGTATCTGCCAGATGCTTCCTATCACTCTATTCTATCTCCACGTCCACCTGAAGTTCACCCCGTTTCCCCAATGACTTAGAATGGCTTTGTGCTTAGTTTTAATTGTAGTTTGTGCTATTCTGTGAATTAACAATTCAAACAAAATAAGAAAGACACGTTGTGAAACAGTAGAGGAGCCAGAGACTGTCTGCATTCCCCTCCTCATCACACACAAGTCATGCATCTACCAAAAAAAAAAAAAAAAAAAAGTGGCCTCTGAGGCAGCACAGGTGTGACAGATGAGGAACCTGCAGCTCAGCTTCAACAGGCACCTGCCAAGTCCACACTCAGGACTGTGTGACAGCCTCAACAATATGAGGTCCAGACACATTCACTGTGGAAGGCTCTGCCCACGCCAACAAAGCCGTCAGCTCTAGCAAAAGGGACACCACCTTCTTCCTCCACCACTTCTCACCTGGTAAGTCCGGGAATCAGGAAGACAAAAATCAGCCAAAAAAAAAAAAGAGAGAGAGAGGCAGTCACTGTTATCAGCGGTACCCGCTACACAGGTAGAGGCACCTCTGGTGCCACTTTCGAGACAAAACAAGATACAGCTGAAATATCTAATTGGAAAATATTGATCTTCTCCTTTCCCAAGGCATTGCTAAGGGTCCCACAGGAAGGCTGGTGGCACCAGGGAATAAACCCTGGAAGTGGTGCAACCACTCTGGGACCAGGCAGCTCCAGCCAGAGGCCTCAGTCCATGGCCGCCAGCTGCTCGATGGCACAGCGCACTTTCTTCGCAGTTTCCTCAAATTCTTTCTTCTTATGGTTGGTTTCCTTTGCAATTTTGTTCTTGGCTCTTTCTCTGTCCAGTTTCAAAAATTCACCGAGGGTTAATTCTTCAAACTGCTTCTTGACAGAAAGGAAAGCGCAATCGGATGAATGCTTTTTATGTTCCTCTATGGGGTCGTCATCTGGCTCCCAGCCTTCCAGCTCCTTGAAGCAGAAGAAACACTGGGCCAAGTCTGGCTCGTTCTCAGTGGGACAGTGGATGAAGCCAGCCTCGGCCATCCGCTCCAGGGTGCAGGCGCAGCCCTCCAAGAAGGGCCAGTTCTTGAATGTAGAGATGCGGTGGTCCTTGAGAAAGGGCTGCCAGGCAGGGGGCAAAGTCGGGTAACCCATGCCGCTGCCGCCACCTCTGCCAACGGGTCCCACGATTCAAATCTGGGATGCAGTTTTTTATGAATTGAGAAACCAAAAGGAAGACACAAAGTCCGAATAAGAGAAGGAGAAAAACAGGTATTAAAGGACTAAGAATTGGGAGGACCCAGGACATCCAATTAGAGAGTGCCCAAGGCGGTTCAGCATAATTATTTGCTTGGTTGGTGAGTTTTGGGGCTCTATCCTTGAGTTTTTTTATGTTGTCATATACCAGGCCAGATTGATTTAGGTGAAAACAACGCTCTTCATTTAAAAATATACAGAGTTGGCCAGGCGCGGTGTCTCACGCCTATAATCCCAGTACTTTGGGAGGCCGAGGTGGGCGGATCACGACGTCAGGAGATGGAGACCATCCTGGCTAACATGGTGAAACCCCGTCTCTACTAAAAATACATAAAATTAGCTGGGTGTGGTGGCAGGCGCCTGTAGTCCCAGCTGCTTGGGAGGCTGAGGCAGGAGAATGGCGTGAACCTGGGAGGCAGAGCTTGCAGTGAGCCGAGATCGCGCCACTGTATTCTAGCCTGGGCGACAGAGCGAGACTCTGTTTCAAAAAAAAAAAAAAAAAAAAAAAAAAATATATATATATATATACACACACACACACACACACACACACACACACAGAGTCCTCCTTTTTCAGCAGTGTGTTGAGGCCTCAGGGATTTTGGAGGAAATAGAAATGCAAAGCCAGCAATTGTTTGTTAAAGAAAGATTAGAAATGGCTAGGAAGAGTGAGTGAGATTGATAGTGTGGTGGAGATAGCTGGGGAGAGGTAGAGGGTGGCATAAGAACAGAAACGAGAATAAGAATGAGTATAAAAGTGAAGAATAGGACTTCATCAGGGAGAGAGTGTTGGAGTGTGTCCTGTCAGCAAAGATCATCTATCCACTCCAAGAGGGAGTCAAGAGTGGAGGATTGGGGATAGATATTCACAATGGAAAGGAAATGAGAGGTTTTAAGAGGGAGGCTAATAGCTTGTAACCTACATGGAAGAGGTTATGAAATGACGACAGAATAGAATGGGCCTGTGAGGATGTAAGCAGATTTTTCCCTTGGTCCAAGAACAATTTGCCTTGTGTGGGAAGAGATTGATAGGTGGAAACTCCAGTAGGAGAGTAAATAGCAGTGACCAATGAGAAGAAGAAAAACTGTCATGAGGGACAGAAGTTGGAACACTAGCTGCTTCTTTAGCTACCTTATCAGCATAAGTGTTGCCCTGAGCGATGGGATCTGATGCCTTTTGATGGCCCTTGCAGTGAATGACTCCAGCTTCCTTTGGAAGTAAAGCGATTTTAAGAAGAGTTTTTATTAAAGTGGCATAAATGATGGAGGACCCTAGCATAGTAAGGAAATTTATTTCTGCCCATATAACAGCATGGTGGTGCAGGATATGGAAGGCATATTTAGAGTTAGTATAAATATTGATGCATAGTCCCTTTGCAAGAGTGAGGGCCCGAGTTAAGGCAATGAGTTTGGCTTGCTGAGAGGTAGTGGAGGGGGCAGAGCAGTAACCTCAATGATAGATGTGGAAGATACTATAGCATAGCGTGCCTTTGCTGGTGAGTGGCGATTAGGCCTGGTGGAACTGCCATCAATAAACCAAGTGTGATCAGGGTGAGGAACAGGAAAGAAGGAAATATGGGGAAATGGAGGATGATGAATCAGAGAGATACAGTCATGGGGGTCAGGTGTGGTATTCGGAATAATGTGGGAGGCCAGATTGAAGTCTGGGCCAGGAACAATGGTAATTGTGGGAGACTCAACAAAGACTGAGTATAGTTGAAGGAGCTGGGGGGGCAGAAAGTATATGCGTCATGTGTGAGGAGGAAAATAGATTTTGAAAGTTATGGGAACTGTAGAGAGTAAGTGGAGCATAGCTTGTGATTTTGAGGGCCTCTGGAAGTATTAAGGCAGCGGCAGCCACCGCATACAGACATGAGGGCTAGGCTAAAACAGTAAGGTCAAGTTGTTTTGACAGAAAGGCTACAGCACGCAGTCCCGGCTCTTGTGTAAGAATTCTGACCGCACAGCCCTGTACTTTGGCTGTGTGTAATTAAAAGGGTTGGGATGAGTTAGGGAGACCTAGTGCGGGAGCAGCTTTTAGGGCTGTGTTTTAAGGAATGGAAAGGGGAGTGAGGAAAGGATTTAGGATTTATGGGGTCAGCTAGGTTTATCTAGAACAGAATGGGTTGTGGAGGGAGGTATTAAGGATAGGAGAGTATATGGGTTTGGCACTGTGGGGTGGATAGGCCAGACAATTTGGTTGATAAGGCACAGATCCTGAACTAACCTGTAAGACTTGTCTGGTTTTTCGACAGGTAAAATGGAATTGTAAGGAGAGTGTATAGGCTTTAAAAGGCCATGCTGTAACAGGTGAGTGATAACAGGCTTTAATCCTTTTAAAGTGTGCTATAGGATGGGATATTGGCATTGAGTGGGGTAAGGGTGACTAGGTTTTAACGGGATGGTATGGGATGCATGATCAGTCACTAAGGAGGGAGTAGAGGTGTCCTATACTTGTGGATTAAGGTGGGGAGATACAAGGAGAGGATGTGAAGGAGGCTTTGAACTGGGGGAAAAGGTGGCAATGAGGTGTGGCTGTAGCCCAGGAATAATCAGGGAAGCAGATAATTTGGTTAAAATGTCTCAGCCTAATAAGGGAACTGGGCAGGTGGGGATAACTAAAAAAGAGTGCATAAAAGAATGTTGTCCAAGTTGGCACCAGAGTTGGGGAGTTTTAAGGGGTTTTGAAGCTTGGCCATCAATACTCACAACAGTTATGGAGGCAAGGGAAACAGGCCCTTGAAAAGAAGGTAATGTGGAGTGGGTAGCCTCCATAATGATTAAGAAGGGCATGGACTTACCCTCCACTGTAAGACTTACCCAAAGTGTCTGTGATGGTCCAAGAAGCTTCCGAGGTGATGGAGCAGCATCAGTCTTCAGCTGCTAAGTCAAGAAGATCTGCAAAGGAGTCAGTCAGAGAGCCCTGGGCCAGAGCTCCAGGGGCTCTGGGAGTGGCTGCCGGGTTGGACAGTCTGATTTCCAGTGGGGTCCCACACAGATGGGACATAGCTTAGGAGGAATCCCAGGCTGCGGGCATTCCTTGGCCTAGTAGCCAGATTTCCAGCACTTGAAGCAATATCCTTGGGGAGGCGGTCCTGGAGGAATGCCTGGCCTCTGCGGTTCAGACATTTTGAGGTTCTTGTGTGCTGGAGATGTGGCTGGGGTTTCTCTCACAGTGGAGGCAAGTTAATTGCAACTCAGAAATATGTTGCTACTTGACTGCCTCTTCTCTATTATTGTACACCTTGAAGGCGAGCTTAATTAGGTCCTGTTGTGGGGCCAGAATCTAATTTTTGGCGCTTTTTCTAATGTTGGGAGCGGATTGGATAATAAAATGCATATTGAGAATAAGATGGCCTTCCTCTGGGGTCTAGGACAGTAAAGTGTCTAAGGGTTATTGCCAAATGGGCCATGAACTGGGCTGGGTTTTTATATTTGATGAAAAACAGCCTAAATGCTAACTGATTTGGGAGAGGTCAGATAAAGAAAAAAGGAGCGTTAACCTTGACTATGCTTTTAGCTCCAGCCACCTCTTTAAGAGGAAATTGTTGGGCAGGTGGGGGAGGGCTAGTTGCAGAACAAAACTGTAAGCCAGACCAGGTGTTAGGAGGGGAGGTGATAGAAGGATTACAGGGTCCAGGAGCAAAGGAATTCTTCCCAAGGAAGAATTGGGATCTGGCTTGGCCTGGCAAGGAGCAGCCTGGGGAGAAGGGGAGAGGTCAGATGATTCCGTAGAAAAGAAGGATTCAAAGGACTCAGAGCTTGGGGTTGAAACTGAAGGAACAGACAGGAGAGAAAGAAGAAAGATTTGGGACGAGTTGCATTGGGAGCAGAGACTAGGGAGGGACCGATGTGTAAAAGAATGCCTAGACGTCAGACACCTCAGACCATTTGCCCAGTTTTCAACAAACATTATCTAGATCTTGTAGGATAGACAAATCGAAAGTGCCATTCTCTGGCCACTTGGAACTACTGTCAAGTTTGGGGCCAAGCGGTATTGCAAAAGAGAATAAGGCGTTTAAGTTCTAGGTCAGGTGTGAATTGAAGAGATTTTAAGTTCTTGAGAATACAGGCTAAGGGAGAAGAAGGGGGAATGGAGGGCGGTAGGTTGCCCATAGTGAAGGAGGTAAAGTTTAAAGAGAAAGGTAGAGACACAGAGACACAGAGAAGAGGGTGGGTGAGCAGCCCTGGGCTGCAATGTGGGTGAGCAGCCAAAGCAGGCATCCAATTGACTTGCCACCAAGGGAAAGTGGGTGAATGATCGAGGCAGACGTCCCCACGGTGATCAGACACCAATGAAATGTGGGTGAATAATCAGGCAGACATCCCCGCAGTGATTAAACACCAAAGGAAGACTATCTTCCTGAGTCCGTGACCAGCGCCGGAGCTTTGGGTCCACGGGTAAAATGTGTCTCCTTTGTCTCTACTAGAGAGGAAAAAGAACTGGAATTGGAAAGGCAGGGAGATTGAAGGGTAGCGAGAGAGGCTGGAGAAGAGTGAAAAGACCGCTTACCTGATTTGAAATTGGTGAGATGTTTCTTGGGCTGGTTGGTCTGAGGACCCAAGGTCATAGGTGGATCTCCTCACGGAGTGAGGGCGACGACAGGGGACCAGTCTCCCTAAGTGTCATGCGTGTCCGTGTGAAGAGACTACCAAACAGGCTTTGTGTGAGCAATAAAGCTTTTTAATCACCTGGGTGAAGGCGGGCTGAGTCCAAAAAGAGTCAGAGAAGGGAGATAGGGGTGGGGCCGTTTTATAAGATTTGGGTAGGTAAAGGAAAATTACAGTCAAAGGGGGGTTGTTCGCTGGTGGGCAGGGGTGGGGGTCACAAGGTGCTCAGTGGGGGAGCTTTTTGAGCCAGGATGATCCAGGAAAAGGAATTTCACAAGATAATGTCATCACTTAAGGCAAGGACAAGCCATTTTCACTTCTTTTGTG